GATCGCCAACACCCCTGATGGAGTCTTGTTCATCGGTGAGAATGCCATCCTACCACGGCTGTACCCGTCAACAGCATTGAAGTAAAGGCAATCGTTACTCGCCGTTGTACTCTAAGCCGTAGATGTCCAGTCGACGATATACCCGCACAAGTGAAATCCGATCCATCGTTCAAGACCTGGCGAGTCCCATTAGGAGCTACCGAGTTCTATTGCGAGCCCCTTGTTCTGGGAGAATGGGAGACCTTGAAGAAGTGACCGTCATTCGAGACGATGTTGATAAGCTGTCAATAGTCAGAGCTCTGAAGGCGAATCGAGACCGGCTGAAGGAAACCGGGTTACGGAGTAGCGACATTACACTGTAGAAATTCTCACTCCCCAATTGCCCTTGGAATCTGGTCTAAGATACGGCCATGGGCGTGAAGTGAGGGAGTGCATAGGGAAGTGGAGGGAGTTGCTCATCGATGGAATGGCTTATTATAGTGGGATATGGCTGGATGCGGGAGAGGAAGAGCACAAGCTCGCTGGCATGATCTGGTCGACTGCCATCATGTGTTGGCCTCCTCCAACTGAGGAGTGCTCCAGGTTTGAGAAATTCACACGAGTTTGCCCTAAGACCAGCGTCCCGTTTTCCTTCCTGGATGTGTCCTATTGGCTCACGGACTCGGCGCAAGGCCATGGGCTCGTCACGACAGCTGTGATGGTCATGTTGCAGTTCGTACGTCGTCACTCCACCACTGGAGACGTTAAGCAAATGGTCAGGTCAAGGAGGAACTCTGTGGTGGGGAAAATGTGACGGAACTTCTCCTCTATTGCCGTAACGATAACTTGAAGTCCCAAGCAGTGGCCCAGCGACTAGGCTGCATACGGACGATCAATGCTACTGCTGATAACTGCTTTACGATGCAACTCGACGACGTGTGGCTGTATAGACCATCTAGTTGGAAGCAACATGAGAGCCACGACTCAGATATCGTGCTTCCCAATCGATCCGCGTACACATGACACGAAGCCGGGTCGCCAAGGAACGGAAAGAGTAGGGGAGAACGCGGCGATGGAGACGTGTAAAGGCAATTAGGCACGAGAGGGCGGTGATTGAGAGTGAAAAATATGCTGGCAAGAAACTGCGTAAATTACAGGGCAGTTTCCAACGCCACAACTTCACCAATTGCGATGAGGCTGCCGAGTACGAAGGGAAATAAGAAGCATCTCAGGACTGATCAGATACCTAAATAGCTTCCCCAGAAAGTCGGCATTGGACGCTAAATGGAGGCTCCTTGAGGACTGCTATGAGCTGGAGGAGAAAGAACACTCCTATGCGGAGGAGGCGAAGTGGTGGGTATGCTATGGCGGGCCCTGTCGCCACTCGATGACCCACCAGGCGAAGGGCTGTGTTGCACGGCCGAGAGCTTCTGTGTGAGGTCCTCACGAAGAGGATCATACCGGACTGTATGGAGATCGACGGACTGTTGAGACTTGGTGGAGGCCGGTCGGTGCTCGCTAGCCTCAGGAAACGGCACACGGAGATTGAACGGAATCAATGGTAGCGACGGAATAGTTGTTGGGCATGTTAACTATTCCTTTGTTCACTTATGCATGATATGGTAGTCGTGGTGGCTTCATTGATCATCGAGATCATCAATGATGGCTCATCATCATCATCATCATCGTCATCATCATCATCATCGTCATCATCATCATCATCATCATCATCATCATCACCATCATCATCATCATCATCATCATCATCATCATCATCATCATCATCATCATCAACTCTCAGGCAAACGGTACAGAAGGCGATCGAACCAGCATTCACTCACCTCACTCAAGTGGGCCTAGCAGAAGGTCCGAAAGGGACACCCTTGGAAACCGCGACGACAACTCGAGATGAGGGACGCTCTCCTGTCTCTGGTAAGGCGGTTTAGTTCGCTTGAGCCAGCAAACAGACTCGTATGTCTATCAGCGTAGACCTGCTTACAGTTTCACGGGTCGACACTCGCGTATAAAACCGACAGGCCTCCTTGCTAATGGATGCATCATCATCATACTGCTGTGCGGAGAACTGAGGGGTCTCCCTTTCACGCTATCGCCTCAACGTTGTCTATTCATTTGGGAAATGGAGAATCGTTAGTTGCTGATTCATTGGGTTTACGCATTGATTAGCGCTGTTGACTTGGTTATGGAATTGAACGATATGATGTCCTCAGTGCCGAGCCTGAAGCCCTCGAGGGTACTGCGACGCCACAGCC